AGCTTTTAGTTTAGCCATGATGCAATTGTCCTATGTATCGCTATCGGTTTTCATATGATTAATAAACACACAGTACTGGCCTGGCCAAGGGTTTAAAAAAAAAAATATTATTATTATTATTAAAGTATTATTAGAGATCCTTTAAATTAACTCAATATTTAAGAACTTTTATTAGTCTATTTGATAGAATAACATTTATAAGGCAACGTAATAACAGATTTTACGATAAATATTTTAAATGTGAAAAAATTTTTTCTCTAAATGAACATCTCACCTCAAATGCGTCTTTGGGGCCCGATCTCAGGGAAACGCATTTAAGAAGGTTCCTCTATATAGGTTTATTAATACAGGTCATGCGGCGAGTGGTTTGAGGCGTGCATAATCAAGTCAAATTAATCTTCATTTCTGAGTGTTGGCGCAGGAAGGCGATCATTCAATTTGATTTTAAAATCGCAAACAATCTATAATTTGTTATCTATTAGGACCCACCCGTTTGCAATTGCACGTCTGACCAAAATGTGTATCACCCTTCTAAAAGTCTAAGCGATGGTTGATAATTTGTTCTATCATAGGTTCCTCAGTTAAGAATGGACCAATAGATCCAATTGATGGGAGCGTAAGATTTTTATTTCTAGAAACATTAGCAGCTGCGATATCCAAAGGTGGTAAACTAAATGGGATTGCGTGAGGTTCAATTTCATTGTTTTGTTGATCAGTTTCTTTGCTCCAAGAATATTGTCTACTATTTTTTTTATCTTTTGGAACCGAACTCCCATTCCTTCTAAACAGAAAGAATTTATCACTTCTCTGTTTTTTCTTCAATTCTCTTAAAACTCTAACATCCTCGGGTTTATTCGGTGGCAGAAACAACAAGTCATTCTCGGTAAAATAAGGATGTTTAAGGGCATCCAACGCACAGGGGCGTTGACATGGATCATATCGCAGCAGACTTGCGAGAAATTCAAGAAAAAGAGGCGGAGTTTCGGGAGGAAATAACTTGGCAAGAGGCTTGGGTTGTATCTAAATAGTCATAGTTAGTATAGCTAGAATGCATTTAGAGGTGTGTACAGTACGAACGGCTGAATTGGTTACCGGTGAAAAAGAGAACCCTAGTGACTTGGCTAATTTGATGCCTTCTTTCCATTCTCCACCGACTCCGCAGTATTGCGCAGCGTGCTCCGCATGAGCACACGGACTGCCTAATACCCCGGAAATTTTGTGCAATTGATCTATTTCACTTTTCCCCGGGAACAATGGCTCAAGAGTAAACAGTTCTGCCATCATGGTACCTACTGCCCATATGTCTATTGGAGACGAGTAAGAATTGGATCGAAGCAACACTTCTGGAGCGCGATACCTGATGCAAATTCACGACCGTCGTAATAAATTAATCGGGTTATCCTAGATGCCCATTTTTATTTTTTATTTTTTTGGAAAAGAATATATATATTTACCATCTTGTACTGACATATTCGGTGTAAGACGACCTAGAATTCATATCTCTTGCCAATCCAAAATCACAAATTTTCGCTATATACTCGATGTCATTATCTTTATGCGCTTCCTGAATTGTTCTCGTGCATTCTACCCGGGTGGGCTTCTGGGTATAAGTTGATTCCAGACAAACATTCTCGTTTTTTATTTTCGTTCGAGTAGAAATTAAAATGTTTTCGGGTTTCATGTCACGATGAAAGATTCCATGCGAATGAATGTGATAGAGCCCTTCGAGTACTTGAAATCTATTAAAGTTTTAAAATTATTAATGCTTAACTGATTGATGTTAGACTTTGGATTACTTTACGTTATAAATTGCACAACGCGTGCATCCAGGTGTTTCCCTTTTCGGTCACCGATCAGTTGATATAAATTTCTTTCCATATGTTCAAAAACGAAGTATAATTCTCGATTTTGCGGTATTAAAAAGGCTTCCGATAGTTCAATTACATTCGGATGTGGAGGCAAGGATCTAAGTATCTAATTTTAATTGGGAATTATATAAAACTGACTGTTGTATACGAAATCCAGAGTTAAATTATTTTACCTTAAATTCGTGCAATTCACACACTTTTTTCCATGACGAATATTTCTTTTTCATTTTTTTGATCGCTACCTTCACATTGATAGGACAGAAACAAGGAAGAATTAGTGCATACGCTTGGTGCATAGAGTGATAACTATTCCCTCTGGGCTGCCGGAATCGCGTTAATAATTTTGAAGGTAAAACCTACCAGTTGGGCTGTTTTTTTGTGTTGCGCCTGGATAACTACCCCGGAAGAACCATCACCTAGCTCCCTTAGGATGTGGTAATTTTCCATTATTGATGATATGGAATCTAAAAGATTTGTTCTTACTCACAGCATAATTTTTGAGTCTATTTTAATGGTTGCAGGAATTATTTATGACTGGTCATTTTAATAATGCAGCATCCATGACACACCGTGCCACATGGATCCTGCAAGTTTAACACGTTTTCCATTTAAGCTCGGGGTCGAGCCCTTGGTTTACCCAAACAGTGGATGCACTCCCATTTTAGGAAGACGGGAGGGCACATGCAAAAAACATAACAAAATTAACATATACATTAAGTATTTCGACAGCAATGAATCACATTGGTTAAAACTCGAGAAAACAAATATGTAATATAAAAATAGTATTTCTTATTTTAAAGTTGATTATGTCATTAATGAAGTTATTAACGTTACTTAAATTTCTAGTCCTAACAAAAATAATATAAGTTTAGTAAAATACTATAGTAAATGCTTGTCGCATAAAAATATAATCGGTGACAAAGATTTTGTGAATAGATGTATTGATGATTGAAAGTCTTTTAATAGTTTTTTTGGAAATCATGTAATCTCGGCATTATACTTTTTCCGAGATTTCTGTCATCATGCATTATATTCAACTCTTTTTTGAGACGAAAAGTACGTAAATCTTTATAAGAAAGAATAAATGCGTTTAAAGAGAAAAAATAACGCCGAAGTATTTCGTATAAATAATCTTTAATTAAGTGGTGGAATGTAGGATTTGCGGATATTATTACATACTAGAGATCTAATTACTTCAACCCAAAGCCTTCGCTTTCTGTTATAGCTGTCGTCAATTTTTCTTCCAACTTCTTTTTTGAGCTGTAGCGATACAAGCATAATTGATTAAAACATGTATGTGCAATTGGGAACCTGGAAGGGGGAGACAAAGATCGTGTAAATAATATCGCATTAATTAACAGAGGCACTTGATGGATTGAAATTTCACCTACCTTTCACTATCTTCACCAATACAGGAAATTTTAAATGACATATTCGCAGATCCAGTCGCAGGAATCCTATCTGTGCCTGTCACGAATGTCAGTAGTTTGCGTTGCATTATGGGGTTCATTAGTTTAAAGATTGACCAGAAATTTTGGATAAATTTCTCATCCTCTCGGAAACCCTCATATTTTGTAACTGCGCGAAGCTGTTCAATTTCAAGAGGTTCTGCACTACCTCGAACCAACAATTCAATTTCTTCGGGTTGAAAGAGCTAAAGTCATAAGAATAGATGTCAATAATAATAATAATAATAATAATAATAATAAATGACAAGTGTACATAGTGGTTGCGTAGCCTCTTACCGATAATGCATTGCCACCACAAACTTTTTCAAACCCGCGTTTGAATGGAACAAACTGTTTTGCCACCGAATCGTTCAATATAAAGTTCACGTATCTCCGGACATATTCTGGAAAAAGGAAAAAAAAAATTTATTACATGTATATGTTAGAAGATAAAGAAGGATGATACTATGTTAACCGACCATCCCTATTCTCATTTGTGACTGGTTGATTTTGTCCATTAGGTAACAAAGGGATTCTTATTATCTCATCGAATGCAACGTATTCCCCAACAAAATCTCTGCAAAAGGTTGATTCCACGTCACCCTCGAACGTGAGAAGTTGTTCCAATCCCCGTGCAAATGCCTATAAGGTAAGTCAGAATATTATATAAAATTGGGAAAGAAAACTGCATCTAAAGTCCATAGGTAAAAGCTTTACCGGACGCAATACTTTCAGATCTTCTAACGTGACGGCGACATTAAACAACTTTTTATAACACGCCAAGGGAAAATGTACGTCCAATATAATAGAATTATAAATTGCGAGTCCTATGACTATTCCAACCAGGTAGTACTGGTTGCTGTTTTCAAAGCTTGCTGGATTGAACCAACATAACTGTGAATCCTCATCCCACGTGAACATACCTTAAGGTGCCATGAATTAATAATGAAGGATAGGTGAGGGATGCATGCAGAGAAAAAAGTTCACAACATACTCACCATACCGTGGATCAAATAATTCTCTCACCAATAATAGGAACCACTCCTTTCGCAGACCACCAGCGTCTACTCCATCCTCACCGACAAACTCTATTCTTAATGACTTTTTAAGATCCGTTTCGTTTGCAGCAATTAGGTTCAATGAATCGTCAATTAGATTATTCCTCCGGACTCGTAAGGTTAATTGAGGCGCGGTCATGCATTTCTGAATAATTATCTTTAGAAATGCTTCCTAAAGAAAAAAGAAAAGAGAGAAAAATGAGACCACAAATTGACAGGCATTGTTCTTTGCCACACTAATTTTAGCAAGTCATCAAGCTCATGAACGAACCTTTGCTTTAGTCTCCATCTGTCTCCTCGCATCAAACTCCATTATTTGCATTTTACCACCCATACTTATCAAGAATGGATATTGGCAGAAGGCAAATTTTCTGGATATAACATAATTTATAAATAAATGTAGAGTAATGAGAGCGCGGAAGAAAGCATACAAACCCAGAACGTTGTTCCCATGTGTCGAAATCGGATATTAATGGAATATAATCTACCATGGTATTGTAAAATTCAGAAAGAGGGATTTTACTTTGTTTTTTGTTGGCCGCAACTGTAATTTAACAAATCAAGTCGATGTCGTAATATGTATTCGAAGGTTCAATAATCACCCAGGGATTAATATAACATACCAAAATTAATGACTACAGAACAGAAAACTTACATAACAATGCCATAACCCGTGCGGCAGAACTAATCCGCCAATCTGTCTCATATGCTAGTGAGGAGCCCGGGCTAATACTTCGTTGTTGTTTTGCTAATCTAAATGTTATAAAGGAATTGACGAGATCCACACGTTTTCTAAATATTGTTGTTGATTGCCTGAAAATCGGAGAATTTGATTTTTTTTTTAATTCAACGGCTTCTAGATATTTTCAAGCGTTATCGATAACGAACCGTGAAAACCAGTTGACTAGAAAGTGGTGTAGTTCGTTGCTTAAATTAGATAGCAGACCAAAAACTCTTTTTACGATGTTATGGTGGTACTGAGATTCTTGAGGAAAGCTATGTTGGGAAAGGAGTGGATTCTAATTTTTGGATTACGTAGGTGTAATGAGTTGAGAAAGCTCCAAATTGATTCGTTACGTGGATTAACGATCGAATTGTGACCAACCTCAAGAATTATCATTAAAAATTTGATGTCTTCTTTGCGTTCTAGCATCCTTTACAATAGAGTTTGGTTGACTTTTAGTAATTCAATAAAGCAACAAATACAGCGAGTGCGTACCTTCCGGGACGTTTCAATATGGATTCAATTGACTTCATCATCGCTCTTATAACACTCACAGGCTTAAACAAGAATGGGGGGCGAGTGAATTTGTTACTGAAGAAATTGGGAAGGGTACCCGAGGAACCAGCAAGAAAATTTGCAAAATAATAAATACCAATTCCAACAAAATCCGATACGCTTCTCTAACTTGGTCCAATGCAACCCCACAATCTTCTACTGTGATGGGTCGCCCCTTTGTGACAAATAGGATGAGTTTCTAGCATTTGCTGAAAATATAGATGAATGCTATCACGAATGCACCCTTACATTACTGAAACTTTCATTCAATATCGACCAATTGGAGAACGCCTTTTGTACTGCCTGCTCTAATAAATCAAAATTTGAAGCGGCACACCCACTACCGATGTTTTTGCAAGTACTAATCAATGTTTGAATTCTGTCCAGCGTCAGTGGAATCCCCTGCTCGGCTTATATTTGTTGTAAATTATATATATAATGTAAATGTTAGGAACATTTCCACTCAAAAGGCGAGACATATAAACGTACTGCGTTGAGGTTTCAGGTCATTGATCGTCTGGCAAACTGTGCATCGAAAGCACGATACAGAGTTTGGGAATTTCAGGGCGCTACAAAATGCGGGTAAGGAGAGCGAAAGATAGGCTAAATTTGAGGGTACATGAAATCTTGGATCTCTAAAAACGTAAGGTTCATTTTACCTATTACAGGAAATGCACTTTCCAACCGTCTAATAAGTAAAATAAGATCGAAATTAGCCGAGAACACAACAGTATGACTCAAAGCTGGTGCATACCATAGTCGTGTTCGATGGCGATGTTTGATACTCCCCGTTGGTGATCCCTGTTAACATAGGATCATTTAGATTACTGCCACTTGGTCCTGCCACGCTAATGGCAGGCGAAGTGGAAGTTCCGAGACCTAAAGATGTCCCCCTAGAACTAGAGCGTGAATATATATTTCCCGGGTAATTTCTGTCCATAGGCTTTGGGAATCTTGCGATTCGAATAAAAAGGAAAGTTTGGTGTAAGAAGTGACTTCAATATCAGCTGACACAATGATTGACATTTAAATAAGTGCAGCCTAAAATTGGGTTTTTCAAGTCATATGACATATTATCATAATACGTCCCATTAATGATATTCCGGCTAACCACATGTCTCTTCATATGATCAATTAGTTCAATAAGTACTTTTAAAAAGATTTTTATTAAATTAACTTATATTGGTTAATTCGGGGCTAACAATAATACCATCATTCCAATTCATTACTAATAAATACAATCCATCAGCCACCAACAAGTCACACCATTACATCCATATTTTTAATTTTACTCATTAAAAATAGTTAACTTGAGATCTACTTACAATTCCAAAGAGAAATAGGAGAAAAATAGTTAGCTTCAGTTAATATATTCATAACAAACAATTTAAATAAAGGAAATACTAAATTTCTTACATGATATCTATTATTTCCACAGGTATCTCTAAAACCACATTCTGAGATGGTCTAGGTTAATCGTCGTTCTCGCTATCATTTTTCTCCCAACCTATCGCTTCTTCTTTATTAGACTGTGCCGATTTCTTTACGATGGCCCACTCTGGTATGACACCTTCGGAATTCAAGTATCCAAAGTCGCGATCCTTATGAGCATCTATGGAGTTAAGCCAATTTTGGAATCTGCATCAAGTTCCATTGTTAATAATACACATGAAATGTTAGCAAATGATTCGATTCAATTAATCGCATCACTAATTTGATTAATAAAGTGATATATCCGAGTGGTTACGTATTATCGTTACATTCTTCTTCATAAATTTTAGAATATATGTGTTTTTCTTTGAATTCGTCAATTTCCTCCTATGGACATATAACCAAAATATGAGTCCATCACTGCGTTTTCGACCAATCACTTTTGAAATAATTACCCGATATTTTTCGTAATCTATTGGTTCGTATCCGTTAACAACGCATTTCTTGTTATATGACTTGAAGACAGGCTGTAGAAGGAAAAGATATTGAAATTTCGAATGCACATGAAAGACGGTCAACAGTAAAATGAACAAACATGCCTGTTCAAGCAGTAATCCTAGCGCAGGAGCATTTGGTATGTTGATCTTTTCTTGACCAAATGTTTTCGAAATAAGAGAGAGAGGCGTTCTACTCCTAATCGACATAACCACCAAAGCTAAATAATACATTGATGATGTATAGTTGATAAGGATTTCAAATAAGATAATACCAAAAATGTGGAAATACTTACCAACCATTTTTCGTATTTGATGCAACATAAAGGATTGTCCTTGCACTTTAAGGCTTAACCACTCGGTATCCTTCACTATTTTTGGATCGCCGACCTTATATAACGAACAGAAAATTTGAGACGAGGTGCGAATAAATGCGCGCAGCTCATAGCATGTAAACATAATACCTCAAAATTGATGATGAATCTAAAACAACTTCTTTCCGTACTGGCACGACCGATCGTAAAATTATGGTAGTTATGCGTACCCTCGTATTCTTTAAAACCCGTTCTCACCAAATTCAGTATTTCGGGGGTTATGCGGTATTTACGGTTTTCAATCATTTCTTCGATTGTAGCAACAGGTATTTCAATTATTTTCTGATCTGTTGAACCCTCCGCTTTAACCTCCACGCTCTGATCCATTGTCATGGACTGCGATGTTTGCGTACAGGATGCTTTCTCATCAGGATTAAAGACATAGGTAGGAATAAGATATTCGTATATGCGAGAGTCGCACAGCGTTTTCGCGTGAAACGATCGAATGGTTCTAACGTATCCTATTTAGGTGACCTGTGATTAAAGGTTTGAACTTGGTGAACAAAATTCCAACGCATCGCTTACCCCACACGCGAATTTGTTCGGGGAGATTTTGATTAATCTTTTCGACCACGTCGGGAATATCGACGATCATGTGAAAAGAACAAAAAAATTATAGCTTCGCGTATAAATGGGTATCAAGCGTTTAACCAGAATTGATACTTATTTTTATCGATAGTAGATTTCCGGCAGCGTGCACACCCTTATCTGTTCTTGCCGCACGCATCAAGCTTACCTACAGAATTATAATTGACGTTAATAATTCTTTGTTTTTGGACGTGTATGTTGGAATCGACGCTCTCACTTTCTTTGGATCATCAGAATTGTCTTTTGACACTGCACCGGCAGTGACAAATGCTTTGAAAATTTCATCTTCAATAGTCTTTGCATTGCGATTGCTAACGCAAGATAAATAAATAAATAAATAGGTCAAATTGGTTCACACTTTTTCCAAAATTATTTCAAGTCTACCATAGTACGATTGATTGAAGAAAAATATACATTTGCATTCCTTGGTAGCCCGTTCCACAGAATCCTAATAGAACCGCCACTTTCCTCTTTGGTTTTCTTGGCTCCTTTGCTTGATCCGTGATTGAATTCCCATTGTCAATTTGATCATTATTAGGTTCACCCGCTTGTAATTTATCATAGTCGCTTTGTGCTTTATCTTCTCGAGTGCCATTCCTATCTCCAAATTTTCTAAATTTATGTTCTCTTTTGTTCTTATTTGTGGGGAATCTCCTTTTTTTCGGGGCACCTTCCCCAACTATTACAGTTTCGGGTGAAGTGTTTTCAGTAATGACGATTTCATTTGGAGCCCGTGGTTCTGCTGAATTCAACCAAAAAATCGTTAAAATTTTGTTCACTGAAGTTCCGTCAGTGAAGTATCGAGACCCTTACTTAAATTCGGAATCGAATGTTGTATAAATGAACTCATGAATATAATACTTTTCTGTGCACGAATTCTGAAATTTCCGTGAATTGAAGTGCATATTCTCATCGATGTCGATTTTTTTATCTTCACGTGATTAATTAAATGTATTTATTTATTTCAAAGATATTGTATGTGCCGAATGTGCTGTAGCGGGACTTATTTTTCTAAAAAAATTTTGGGCGGCAAAATTTATAAAAGGGAAAGGTCATTTTGACGAGTTTTTTTAAAGTATATACATATCATTGATGGTTTTAAGCGTAGAAGGAAAAAAAGATCAAATAATAGGACGAAGAGTATCAGGTTATACCGAGGAATCCTTATGATCATTGTTCCTATCATTGAAATAACACCAAATTTCAAAATTTATAGGTAAACCATGGAAATATCATAAAAAGGCGACCAAACGTTCGCAACTTTCACGCGGATTGCGCAAAAGCTGGGGAGAGCGTTTAAATGAACGAAAAGAGAAAGAGGTCACAAAACAATTGGAACAGGAATTAAGAAACGAAGTTGAAGCGGAGAAAGCAGTAATTTGTTATTTATTGATCAATCGGTTTTAAGTAAAAGTTATGAATGGCATTTAAATATTTATACGAGTTTATTCTGATCCACGAATAAAGCGAAAACGCGAGGCCACATTGAAAAGGCGACAAGCCTTGGAAGAAAAAGAAAGGCAAGAAAAATTGGCTGCTCTGGTAAGTGAATTTATTTGCGACCGCGATTCTATATTTTATAGGCTTAAGAAATGACAATGTTTTCTTTTTAGTTTTCAGCCAAGAAGTTGAAGAGGTTGCAGAATAGGAAGCGGAAAGCGATAAAGAAATAAGAATGAGAAACCGGAAAATGTTATTCTATTTATTTTTATGGTCAATAATAATCCCATGCTCACGAGAATTCGTGTATTAAAGGGTACATGTCTTGAAAATTTTGGAACATTATTTATCTACTAATGTTTACTCTCTTCACTAAACAAATGTCACGACTTACAGAATTGAATTCTTTTTTTACTTGCACGAAGTTTATGCTTATATTAGGATTATACAGCATTGATTGGAAAAAATTATAAAAATCTATTAAATAAATAAATAAATTTAATTTAACCCTGTCATCATGGCATGTCTTTATTGGAGCATTAAATAAACATCTACAATATTATATAGACTATTTACATGCATGACAGCTAACTTAAAAAATATGAGAAGTTTACTAAACTAGTTTGAATCAAACAAAACAAAGTTTAAATTAGAGTTAAGGAATAATATTTTATTTCACAGTTTGTTACTATAGATTATTCTAAAAAACTATAATTGTTGAATTGATCTAAAAAAAAAAAATTTTTTTAAAATTATAATATATTTATATATTTGTTTTATAAATTCTTAATTATATAAAAATTTTTTTTTTTAAAAATCCTTTGCCAGGCTAGTTATATGTGCTTTATTAAACAATTGTAAACTATACATTATAATATAAATTGCTAAAGCTAAAAAATCTAACTAGCTCACTCATCTTTATAATTACTATTCTAAACACAACTTTGAAAATGATTTGTTGCTCTAGTAAAAATTCAGATAAAAACTTTTCTGATTTCTAATATTATTACTTACAGGGCATTATTACAAATTACTCTTTTAAGTTCCAACAGAACTCAAAACCCAACCATTTTCTTTTAAATCTAATTCTTTTTAATAAGATATCTTTCAAGTCTTGATTTTTTAGTTTTTCTTCTTCTAATAATAGAATTCTTCTTCTTAATGATATAATTTTATGATCTTGAAAGTTAAGAGATCTTTTTATTTTATCATTTCTCTATATTCCTTATATTCTTTTCTATTCTATTATCTTTTTATATCTTATATTTCAGATTTTTTTGTAAAATCGATTGTTTACTATATTTTACATTTTCTTTATTCATTTTTTTTAATTTTTTTACTATAGCATTTTAGATTCATCAATTTAAGAATCAGTTTATTTTTTATTAGTTTACACAAAAACTTAATGTATTTTGACTTATGTTAAAGTTTGTTTCACTAGTCTGAATGTTTGCTTGTCAACTTCTCTCATTTTTTTTTATTGTTCACTATCAATCATATATTCTTCTCTATAACTTCTTTTTTTCTTTCTTGTAAGAGTTTTCTAAAGTTCTTAAAAACTCCTCAAAATCTTTACTCCATGCTTCTTTTATCTGCTCTTTATAAACTAAACATTCTAGCAAGTAATTGATTGTCTCTTTTTCATTGAATTTATATATAATATATTTTACTTATTTATATAGATTTGTCTTTCTAATTGTCAACTTACTTAGTGTTAGTAGCTTATTATTTATCAACTTAATAAAAAAACTTTTTCTTTGTAAATCTTTAAAAGATATGTTCCTATTTTTTTTTTTCATACTAGATCCTATATATGGTTTTGATATTCTTTGATCTAATGATTCATTTCTTTTAAGTTTTGTTTTATGCTATCCATTGATTACTATAATCTTATTATTTACTTTCTTAATAAACTATCTTATAGAATCATCTAGTGTTTTACTTTGTTATTTGATTTCAGTAGGTATTATATGTAAGATAAGATTTTTTTATTCTATCATATGAAGTTTAAGAGCATTATTGACTAAAACATTTGTTTTATTATTATAGAGATTATTGGAATATGCCTTGATTTTAGTAAGTTTCAAATCCAAACTTTTTTTCTTGATTAATTCTATTATATACAATATATCTATAATTATCAGTTTTTATCCTTCAGTTACCTCTTATGTATTTTTTTTTATCATCTTTTTCAATTATTTTTCATTTTGAAATATAGGTTTGACTATTTTTTAAGATTTTAACTATACTATTTATTGGAATTACTAGAAGTATTGCAATTAGTATTTACAATTTTGATCAGAATCTGATTGATCCATGAATCAGATATGAATTGGATCAAATCAAATTTTAAAATTTTTAATCTGATCAGATTTGAATCAATTTGATCAGATTCAAATTAAATTCA